AGCTGGTGTGGTAACACCATAGAGCTGGTGTGGCTTTTAACCCCGTGTTCTGGTGCCCTTGGGGATAAGATACGATATGACTTTATTTGTCAGATCAAGTCTGAAATTTGACTTGTGTCACAGCTAGGGTTGCAAAATTCCGGGAATTTTCAAAGATGGAAACTTTCCATGGGAATTAACGGGAATAAACAGGAATTTATGGGAATAAACTGGGAATTTTCTAAATTGAAGGTTGGCTCTTCATAGGGAACTTAAANCATTTCATTAAACAGTTTGCCATCAAACCAATAAGGCTCTTTGAACCGAACACAGAGCCATCCTCAACAAGGCTGGACAGTGACACTGCAGAGGAAGACTCGAGTTTGATGTTGATGAGGCCCAGGAAGAGCCCGTTGACTGAAAGGGTTTAGCAAAAATGCAGAGGATTGCTTGAAGGAAGATTTGCATGTTTGATGGGACTTTTTGGAGGGAGAAGGGCTCTTTTCATTTAACATTTTGAATGGGACTTTGTGGGGATTTTTGGATGGGGGGTGCATTTTTGTTCATTTTTTTATGAGTGGGGCTGGGGGGGATGAGTAACATTTAACTCAACTTTCCGGTTTTCGTTCTTCAATGAAACAAATAATTGTTCAATTAAATAATTAAAACTTGTTCTGTTCTACTTAGAATTTTTTTTAAAGATCTGTTGAAATGTCATGTTTTTTGTTTAAATTTGCATCGAATATAACTTCCCATGGAAACTTTCCGGAAATGTGCCGGAAACTTTCCGCCCCTTTGCAACCCTATTCACAGCAGCTCCATGTCCAACATCAACAGACAAATATCCAGACAAAAATACATGAAACACAAACAACAAACATTTAACATAACAGCACAATCAGCGAGAGAAAAGCTGCTCAAAGAGCCTTCAGCGTGCATTTGATCTGGGATTCAGCTCTGTGTTTACTGTGAGGATTGACTGATGCACAAAGGAGAGCTTCAGTCTGACTTTATTGAATGGTGGGACCCTGTATCTCCGATTAGATGGTAGCAGTTCATATTCACTGTTCAGAACATGGTTTGGGTCAGAGATGATGTTGTTGGACAGCCTCACTAGGTTGTTATTACCTTAGATAAAACATGAATTAAAAAAGATGTATATAAAGTGAGTTATAAAGACTTTTACAGTTGGAACAAGAGGGCACTGGAGCATCAGGAGTGTCAGTAAAGTCAGTCAGTATTGGCGATAACCGTGAGTCTAGCGATCTGTGCCGGATTTGAGATGTTCTCAATTTCATTCACGCCTCCTTACTAAAAAATAAAGCATAGCTCTAATTTGTTGGTATACGACATGCATGGTCCATTAACACAATATAAACTAAATCTCCTCTTATATAGTTTGGCCTCGGCAAGTTGGGACCTTAACACCCCCCTCACTCTTCACCATGTTGACACACCTGATGACTGGTTGCTGTCTCACTTTCTCATCATTAATCTATTATTACATTCTCCTCCGTTTTCCTTTGCCATGTGTGTCTACTGTACATAAAACAGTGTTAAGGTAGTGCAGCGATGTAAAAGCAAAATTAATCAAAACATTATTTCCTATCATCTTTGTATGAGAGTGTAGGAATGCTGGTGAACACCTGGCATATAAGAAAATATTTACCCAAACAGGAATCATTGCTAAGGGGACATTTCTCAACCGTCCTGTGGTTCCTTTTCCACTCCACATCCATAAGACTTAATACTGATTAAAACAAACTCACGGTCTTAATACATTTCCTACTTTGTGGAGATAAGTGGCAAAGCAGTTTGTGAATGTGAATATGTGAGGTACCTACAAGTAGCTTTATTGAGACCTGGAGGAAAGAACGACGAGAGAAAAGGAGGGAAAACACACGTGCATTGGAAAAGCTTTTAAGGAAAGGACGTCCTCCAACGAGGAAAATGTGCTAACTGCTACTCATCAGACACTGCCATTTATCTTTCACCTCACTGGGTAAGGTTTTATATGCTCCGTTGGTGAAATGTAAATCTAAAAGCAACATAATCTAACATCAAGAAAACCTGTTGTGTTACAATGTCTGTTGACTGTTGTGCATGTATGAGATATGTAAATATAACAGAATATGTAAATGTGACAGGTTTCATCCATTATTGAGCAAATTTGCTTGCTTCAAATGTTTATTTTCATCACACAGAGGCTCCTACTTTACTGTTATCACTAATGAAGACACATTTTCTTCTCTGTCAGTATTTGTGTTTCAATGGCTCTAAGTAGTGTCGGCTTCTTTGAACGCCACGGTGTGTGATGAAGTATGTGAAAGGTTGACAGAGAGTGTGTGAGGTAAGGAAAAGACAGAGAGACAAAAACACATGTACGGTGTGTTTGTCTCCCGCCTAGCGAATGAAATATACGGGCTGCAGTGTGTGTGTGTGTGTGTGTGTGTGTGTGTGTGTGTGTGTGTGTGTGTGTGTGTGTGTGTGTGTGTGTGTGTGTGTGTGTGTGTCCTGGCACGTGTGAGGTGGTGTGTGGGCGTCGAGAGGGAAAGCTCATAAAACCCATGATCACACTGATGAGGTCACGGGGAGTGAAACCGGAGAAAGCCTTTCATTTCCTGTCTCATTCCATCTCTCTCTCTCTCCTACCTCCATTCATCCATCTCTCCTCCACCATTCTGTCCATAATTCACTCCTGTTTTTCACCACGGACCCCAAATGTCAAAATCCTTCTCACCCTGTTATCTCAAAAATTCAGTATGTGTAACCCGACACTGGAAAACTGGAGTATGAGAGAATGTTTTTCAAAGTGACTGATGTTAGCTCCGTCACATAAAAAAACTCCTTTCTCGAGTGGTGATTTTGTGACTAATATGCTCAAACATGTCGGGTTTCTGTATTTCATTTACAGAATACAGAAGCAAGTAAATAAACCAGGGCCGCAACAAATATCAATTTTCAGTGTCAAATACCAACTTGAATACGTCATCAGCTGTTGTGAGTAAAACCTTTTGTTATACTGTCAGTACAAATGTGTGCAGACCACAGGGATCTCTCAATGTGTAGCCAAAGAGAGACTGTATTGATGTCAGTGGTTGCACCGCTAACCTGCGGGTATTCTCTGTTGGAAGGAGAAACCAGCACAATCATTGCAATGACACTGAAGCAATCAAGGAACAACAAGGAGAAAAGTGTTCACAGCACAACGACAAGAACTAGAGGTACACAGTCATATTCCAGCACTTCACTATTAAAAAGCAGGATTTATTAATTTAGCAATTTGATCTATTGTTTTGATTATTGCTAATGCAGCTGTGGAGTCATCGTTCTAGTCGGTAGAGAAGAGAAAGTGCATTCAATATTTAAAGTAAGGCTTATGACGCTATTTCTCATGAATGTACAAGACGTTTTGTATGCACTGTTAAATGGTCAAATGTTTTGTAGCATTTTTAAATACGATGCTATAATATTGTTTCATTAGGCAGTATCAATAACTGCCCACACTGATTGCATCTACATTGTTCCCATTGTTGTTGCTTTAAAGGATTGTTAGTATTGCTTTAGACTACTTCATGTTTTTTGACAGGTGGTCTGAGAAATCAAAGATAGACAGACTGTTGTATTTTCTACTCAATGTTCTCTTAGCAGGATGCATTTACCAGCTGTGAGAACTAGTCTCTCTTCTACTGTGTGAGAGAAGTTAAGATGTGTATTCACCTGTGTGGTGGATCTGGATCAAAAGATGAGTAAAGAGAACCCTGCATGATTTTTTTTAATGACCAATGACAAAGCTCACAATCAATGTTCAGCAGAACGTCAGGCACACCTGAGCTCAGTACATACCAAACAGCTGTGTCCAGGGCAGCAGAGGATAACAGAGAAGCACACAACTACTCCCGCAGTGTCTCTTCTTCTTATCACAGCCTCATTACTGGTCAGCATTTGACAAAAACTCTGAGGGCAGCAGGTTGCCAGATTGCCTGTCCCATCTGTGTGCTCACGTTTAGCAGAGGGAGGAAAATTAAAGGCAGGAAAAGCAGGAATGATGCTGAGGGAAGCTGTGTCTACTTGCACGAATACATTTGTTCCCCAAGACAAAAACATTGGAAACATTAAAACTCGAGCTACAGTATACTGCATGAAAAGAAACACAAAACAAAATGACAAAAGGAGTTAAAGTCAAACTAAATGAGCCACTTTGAGTAGAAAATAGAAACCGTTTTGAAAAATAAATGCACAAAGCAAGACAATGATCTGACTGCGTGTGTGTGCAGTCTTCTCAGATCGTCAGTGAGCAAACTGCCACTTGTGATTAACCTTGATCGAACATCTCTTTGTGTTTGTGTGTCTACAATATATTCCATTTGTGCCCCAAAGGGGGGATAGTGAAGCACTAACGGTGATTAGGTATTCTGAATCCAGTATAAGGTTTAGCACAGGGGACCTCAGGCTTTCTCTGAACCATATTTTATGCATTTATTTTATTTATTCCAGTTTCATAAAAACAAACAAATTAGATAATGTGGATGGGGAGTCTGGGATTAATTTTGAAGCAGCTGATTAGTGTGTTTGTGTCCTGGGATAATTGTGTCTGGGACCATGCCTGAAATGCCTTCAGGCTTTTCAGCAGTCTGGGAGATAG